GGACTTTCTAAAATTAAAAGATTTTTAATTTCTAAAATTATGCTGTGGTAAATTCCACAGCACAAATTAAATAGGAAAACACTGGTAGATCTGAGTGTGTAAAGATTTTAAGTTCTGCTAATGAAAATATAGGAAAAGCAAAATTTAAAGACAAACAAGGAAAATATCAGAGAGATTTTATACGCTTAACATATAAAATATTCTCCTCCAACCTCTCCAAACTACTTTGTTTGGAAATACTGAGCTACACTTCAAAATATATTCAAGAGATTTCCAATAAATTTTTTTCTGATAAAAAATATATATGTATATATATAAAACATTCATGTAGACTGATAAGAAAAACCATAAAACCAAGGTTAATGGGCAAAAAAAATTACTAGACAACTCACAGAAGAGTGACTAAGAAAATCATTTCTAATAGGATGCAAATGAAAACAATATGCAATTTATTATCTTATTAGGCTAGCAATGTTTTTATTTTTAATAGGAACATTTAACACCACAGAGGTTACTGGTGAAAACTGCTTAATATTCAAGTTTATCAAAATAATACATATATATTTATTTTTTATTTTTTTATTTTTTTTGAGACAGAGTCTTGCTCTGTCACCCAGGCTGAAGTGCAGTGGTGCAAACTTGGCTCACTGCAACATCCGCCTCATGGGTTCAAGCAATTTTCCTGCCTCAGCCTCCCGAGTAGCTAGGACTACAGGCGCGTGTTACCATGCCCAGCTAATTTTTTGTATTCTTAGTAGAGAGGGGGTTTCACTAGGTTAGCCAGGATGATCTCTCCTGATCTTATGATCCGCCCACCTCAGCCTCCCAAAGTGCTGGGATTACAGGCATGAGCCATAGTGCCTGGTCAAGAATATATCTTTTTTTAACCATTAATGTTTATTAATGTTTTCAAAATATCCACCCTGAAAAATTCTTGTATTCACCTGCCTTAAATTATATAGTATGTAAAGTTCTAACCTTTAATGGATCAGGATTATGTACTAATATATAAATGAAGATCATCACTATGAATATCTGATGTACAGGATAAGAAAAGTTAGTTGCATATATGGAGAAGACAAGCTGAAGTCTAGACGTCAGATTTTTAAACGCTGATATGTTTGTGTCTCTTTTTAGGATATATTGAAAAAGAACATATATTAAAGTTATATAATGGCCTTTATAATGACTATATAATGCTTTTAGAGTAATGTTATCATTACCTTTGTTATATTTCCTTAGTTTTTTGAATCTCAAAAAGAAATTCAATCCAAACATCAAGATTTTCAAACAATTTTTAATCTTTTTTTTTGAGACAGAGTCTCACTCTGTCACCCAGGCTAGAGTGCAATGGCGTGATCACAGCTCACCACAGCCTTGACCTCCAGGGCTCAGGTGATCCTCCAGCCTCAGCTTCTTGAGTAGCTGGGACTACAGCTGTGCGCCACCATGCCTGGGTAATTTTTCTGCATTGTTTGTAGATACAGGTTTTTGCCACGTTGCCCAGGCTAGTCGCGAACTCCTGAGCTCAAGCAATCTGCCCATCTCAGCCTCCCTAGATGCTGGGACACAGACATGAGTCACAGCACCCAGCCTCAAGTGAGTTTTAATGCAATAAATACAGTTATGTGATGATGCATAAAGATGTCCCATAAGATTATAACACTGTATCTTCACTATACCTTTACTATGTTTAAATATGTTAGGTACACAGATACTTAGCATTGTGTTACAACTGTCCACAGTATTCGGTACAGCAACATGCTCTACAAGTTTGTAGTCTAGGAGCTAGGTATGTATATATCAAATAGGCTAGGTATATATACACAGGTATATATATCATATAGGATAGGTATGCTGTAGGCTAAAAATCACCTAAAGACACAATTCTCAGAATGTAGCCCTACCATTATGCAATGAATGACTGTACTTTTAAGGTTATTTATTTTTGCGAAGAGCTAAAAAAGTTACTCTGCTTTCTTTAGACTGGTTTTACATGAATAGTTTCTAAACTTTCTAATTCGAATAGCAATTGAAGGTATAACAAATGATCATTTTATTCTAAGACACATCAAATATATCTTAAGGTATGTCTTAGGTGGCTTAAAGTATACATGTTGACAATAAATTTACCAGTTATATAAAAAATGTTGGTTTTCTCAAAGTATAAGTTTTATAAGGAAATACTGTGAATAATTAACTTATTTTTAAAGAACACAGTGGGGACTTCAGGCCTTGGTTCAGGAAATAGCATACTGTGCCTTTCTTTTAACAATGAAATAGAAGTCACATTGTTTTGTTGTATAATTATTTACTTAGACATACATAAAGCAAAGTATTATTAGACTTCACTGAGATACAAACTGGTGTGAATCACTGAAAGTCGTATATTATAGAGTATTTTTAAAGATTCACTGTTCTATTATTTTCATGTAAAAGTAGTAACCACAATTAACTGCCCACAAAACGTTGCCAAGCAGATACCCAACTGAGGCTCCTTTAGTGAATAAAGACTTTTTAAGTAAATGTATCTGGAATCCTATTGAAAATCTACAGAAGTCGGACGGTTCTTAGGGCTGGTATATAATAGTTAAGAGCAACGAAATGATTCAATCTTCTGAGATGTTATTCATCCTAACCAGTTAGTTGTTAACCAGATGACACATAGCTAGGCTAGACTACTAATGAATATGCAATATTTCTTTTTTTCAGCTGGAGATATGTATGTGATTTCATTGTATGTAACATACTTAACTGCATATTCTCATTGCCTTTTCAGAAGATCAGCAGGGAAAAGAGAAACTGATTTTCTTTTGCAGAAGCCCTGCAGGATCTCTTCCTCTTTTTGGTCATGAAACAGAAATGGAGGCACGGCCTGTACTATTTCTATTCACTCTGGTCTTAACATGAAAAAATACTGTCTTCACTCAAGACTGTCTACATTCAACATATTTATTTTGGAAAGTTCGATGCATTTTTACTGATACTACTGTCAATCCTTTTCTTCTTTTAAAGCTCAATTTGCTTATGTAGGGTGTAGTCGATTCCACCTTCTCAATTCACTAGCTTTGTCAATTTTATCTAGAGGCTTTGCTCAAGCAACATTCTTTCTAGTTGCACTAAACCCAGGTAGGATGTATGGCAAAAAGCAGGAGGAAGAAGGTTTTAATTTCATATCCCAGATCCCAGGTGCCAGGTTTCAGCCTCAGAATCATAGAAAAAAATCCATCATGCTGATTTGTAATTTCCAAATGTAGTACATAAAAACTAATAATTCTAATGTTAAAATTCTTATCCTTACATAAGTTAACTAGTCCTCTACTAAAATATGTTTTACTTAGCTGTATCAACAAAGCTTCTTTGTAATTACGCTAGTGAGATGGAAATAACACTCTAACCAGAGATAACCTTCCCAACTTGGCTTGATTCTAAGAAAACTCTTTCATGTGTCTTTTCCCCTCCTTTGGAAATTCTAAAAGCAAAGCCTATATAAATAATATCAACTCTTTGTCAAAAAACTGTCCCTTTAAAGGAAGAAAATGTTTCTACATGTTCTTAAGTTAGCAATAGGTATATATAGAGACCCAGAAAATAAAATTAGGAAACGAGCAATTTGAAAACAGCATTAACTTAGTTTTTACTTATTTGGTTAGCTTCTTCCTGCTCTTACATATCATTTATGTAAAGCCCAAATTGGAAATCTGTCTTGTGAAATATTCTTCCCTAATGGAATATTTTTGAAAAACCAAAGATGATTACTCTTATGGCACAAATTAATTAGCATTTATGCAGTAATGCTAGAAATAATAAAAATCATAATAGTATTTTATACAGTAGGCAGTTCTTCTTTTTTTTTTGTACTTTAGGTTCTAGGGTACATGTACAGATTATGCAGGATTGTTGCATAGGTACATATATGGCAATGTGATTTGCTGCCTCCATCCCCCCGTCACCTATATCTGGCATTTCAGTAGGCAGTTCTTTTAGTGCAGGTACAGTATTTATAGTTAGCCTTTTCATAATCTTTTTGCCATAAAGGGATTCTGACTCTAAAGTGATAGCCTTTTTTATGTAAATGCTAATAACATTTAAAACTTGAGCAAGGAACGGTGCAGGAAAATGCATAATGTTTTTTCTGTGTTTATAAAATTTGTCTTCATTTCGAAGTGTCCAAGAGTGCTATGATTCAGCTCAAGTTGTAGAAGAAGATGAAAAACAGTTCCTCAAAGAATTATGAATAATGGTCCTATTAAGCCTCCAACTAAAATTGCCAATATGTATTTACTGGAAAGAAGAGAACTTTGAGATGACCAATACCTTTTGGCCAGTGGCTTACTAAAGGTATAACCAAGCATGACTGCTACTGTTTTCTTAAGGCAGAATTTTTAATATATCATATAAAAGTAACTCAAAGTTTCTGTAATCTTCTGCAGGAAACCTATATACTAAGCTGAAGAATGCAGCCCCCTAAATGATCACAAATGGTACCCATACCTATTTTGCTTTCTTCCCAGAAACTGTCCATCATCATTCAGTGAAATGGATATATTAATATATCATTAGATACTAAGAAACTCCCCAAAGACCTCTTCTTTTTTTTTGAGACGGAGTTTCGCTCTTGTTACCCAGGCTGGAGTGCAATAGCGCGATCTCGGCTCACCGCAACCTCCACCTCCTGGGTTCAGGCAATTCTCCTGCCTCAGCCTCCTGAGTAGCTGGGATTACAGGCACATGCTACCATGCCCAGCTAATTTTTTGTATTTTTAGTAGAGACGGGGTTTCACCATGTTGACCAGGATGGTCTTGATCTCTTGACCTCGTGATCCACCCACCTCGGCCTCCCAAAGTGCTGGGATTACAGGCTTGAGCCATTGCGCCCAAAGGCCTCTTACAAGCATGAAACACCACCCAAATCCAACATAAACATCAGCAAAGGCATATTTATTTCTAATAGCTTAATAACAAGGAAAAAAATACCATTTCCAATCTTCTCCACTTACCCAGGAGTTTTGCAATGATATAAAGTGCTTGTCCCCAAAGAAACAGTTTTCCATCACGGCCACAGTTGCTAGGAAATCGTTTTTGACTACCGGGGTTATTTTTCTCATATTCTACAAAGTCAGCTGGTACGTAATAGTACTTTGGTACAACAGGATATCCTATGGAGTTTAAAAACAAGCATTTAAAATATAACAAATCTGTATTAGCTCATTACCATGCTACTAATAAAGACATACTGAAGACTGGGTAATTTATAAAGGAGAGAGTTTTAATGGCCTCAGAGTTCCACATGGCTGGAGAGGCCCCACAATTCATGATGGAAGGCGAAGGAAAAGCAAAGGTATGTTTTACATGGTGGGAGGCAAGAGGGCTTGTGCATTTAGAAAACTATCAGATCTCCTGAGACGTATTCACTACCATGAGAACAAAATGGGAGAAATCAACCCCATGATTCAGTTATCTCTACCTGGACCCACTCTTGACATATGGGGATTATTAAAATTCAAGGTAAGCTTTGGATGGGGACACAGCCAAACCATACAAAATTAGTGTCTTTTCCAAAATTTCCCTTCAAGATACTGTAACAATTAGAAAGCAGGGAGAGAGAATTGTTGTACAGGAGGCAACAGATTTGATAAGCTATAGAAAGCTAGATATTCTGGTTCTTTTCAGATATTGTCAGTGAAAATCATGGAGAAAAGATTGACTTTAAAGCACTAATTCAACAGCAGGTTGTTATTCTTTGGCTAACAATGAGTACATAATCTCCCTCAACAACATTTAATTTTAATACCTTCAAATGAATCAACAAATACACAGTATGCAAATATTTAGAGCCACAGAAGAAGCTATTTTTAATAGGATTAGTTTGCAGAAGCTTTACAAATGAGATATTGTGTAATCTTAAATGAAGAATTATAACCCTGAGCCATTGCTAGAGCAAAGAAATCCCCATTTAAGCATTAAGCCCATTATCTATCATTCAATATCACGGAAGAAAAAAAGCCATCCTCCCCAGTGACCATTTAAAACTGGGTTGGTAGAAACTAAAGTTATTATTTAAGAGTAGAATCTTTGTGGATGATATAATGGGAAAATAATCAACTATCTAGGTAGGATGCTACAGAAGACTTTTCACCTTATTAGCCCGTAGTGAACATAATTTTTCCAATAAAATGGCAGAGATTTCCCTAAAATTTTGCCTCCTTACATATCAAACAATCAACAATAATATTTGTGTCTAAAATCAATAAGAAGATCTATGATACACAGAGAATACTTTGAACAGCACTCTCTGAACATGATGAAGCCTGAAGTGCATTAAACTGCTACACCTCAATGCATCAATGATCTAACACAAAATATTAAAAGATCTGCTTCAAAGGATTTCAAATATTACACGCATTACAAAATTCAATACATGATTTCTCACATTGGACAAGTGATCATTTGTAGCAAAAAGACAAAAATAGCTTTTAAAAATTAATATTCCCTTTGAATTCAATGTTTATCCATAAACATTTCACAACTTTTAACATTACAAGCATGTGAATGAGCATAAAATATGAAGTATTTACTCTGAGATATCTGAAAGAATATCACAAACTTCATGTGAGATAGGAATGGGGACCAGTGCTGTGATTGTCAGTACTTTCCAGATCCCAAAGACATCTAGAAAATCTCATCCGGAATTCCTTTGAAAATCCAAGTTAAACAGAAAATTCAGTTATGCCTTTTGAGGGTCCCTACTGATGTCTGACTGAAACCAATATACCCTTATTTCTAAGACTGGACCTTCTGACCATTTCTAAAATACTAAATCTATCCTCAAAGGATGACATTTTAGCACCATGGCAGACATTCAAAACACAATGCTAAGGACCCTAGAAAAAAACTCCAAAGAGGGATCCAGAATATTCTCGGCAATTCTAGTGCCTTAGACAAGAGCAGAACCTCTCCAGAGGTTCTGGCACTCATCTGACTATAGCATTTTTGGTGACCTGGATAAAAACTTGTCACTTTCTACTACTGTCACACTTACAGAGTAATGGAATTATACAGTAAATAACAGATGAAGGAACTCAGTCCACCTGATGAACTATTTTGAAATGATTATAGCCATGCCCACCTAGATTCATCTTCATCTTTGTTTTGGTTAATCTTTCTGATTTCATTTCAGGGACCAATCATTTTTTTCTATTTAATATAAGTTACTGTGTTTTACAAAGAGCTTACACATTTCAAATAAACATTAAAGAAATGTTGGTTAGAAGAATTTCTTAAAAATAAACTATACCTTCTGTGGTCTGATGAAGTACTGGAGTCAAAAGATTCTGATATTCCTGTACTTGCTCAGGGTTGCCTCTAAAAACTCCTAAAATATAAAATAGAAAACACAATAGCAGCTGAGCTCAATAAGCATCTCAAAAATTTTACCTTAGAAACAATCTATTAGCCCAGTTACAATTATTTTGGCAATTTTCTACACAAATGGTAAAATTAAAATGAAAAAAAGTAATGCAAACCTGTATGATACTTTTCCAAGAAATTGGTTTTAGAAAGTCATGTTAGCATTTATAATTGAAAACTGAATTTTAATTGAACTTTCCTATTCCTAATAATAAATGTTACGGACACTCACATTATAATGGATTATGGTATTACTGATTTCTACTAATAAAGATTTTTCTTTGTAAATATGAATAATATATATGGTATCACTTTTTAATGCTTCAGAGTGTTTTTTTAATTCTTTAAAAGATTTAGCATTCACTCAGAAAGAAAGGAGCAGGCATATACAAAGTCAGGGCAATTAACATCACTGAAGTGCAGACTATTTTTATACCTGAAAGGAGTCATATTTCATTTCTGCTCTTCTTTAAATCACTTAAATCCTATAACTTAAATTTCAGGAAAAAGCTTGCTTAAATTTCAGGAAAAAGCTCACTTACCATCAATCATCATATAAAGGAAAAATATGGGAAATTCACATTCAATGCCATCAAATAGCTAAAACAGAAAATAAAACATTAAAATTTTTGCTAATAATAATAATTATTATTATTTTGAGACAAGATCGTACTCTGCTGTCCAGGCTATAGTATAGTGGCACAATCATGGCTCACTGCAGCCTTGCCCTCCTGGGCTCAATCCCTTCTCCTGCCTCAGACTACCAAGTTGCTGGGATTATAGACACACACCACTATATCTGGCTATCTCTCTGTGTGTCTCTCTCCCTGTCTCTCTTACTTTTTTCTCAGAGATGTAATCAGCTCCCTGTCTTTCTCAGGCTGGTCAAACTTCTGGTCTCAAGAGATCCTCTTATCTTGGTCTCCCAAAGTGCTGGGTTTACAGGTGTGTAGAAGAACTATAGTTAGGCAATATGTCAAAGATTTGTTTATAGCAATACAGTTGAACTGATTTTGTAAGCAGCTTCCTTGTTGTTTTTTCTTAAAAAAAATTTTCTCAAGATTTATTATTCAAAAGCTCAGTCATTCAGTCCATCAAATTGCAATCCTTCAATAAATCTTTACTAAATACTTACTAATGCCTGGAATCAAACAGACAGAGAACTACTAAGACAAAAGATAGAGAACTTCCCTTAGAGGGTACAGCCTGTAGGGAGGCCGGCATGTAAATAAACAACTATTAAAGAGTAGGAAATATCTACACATGGTATGTCAGGCTCATAATGGGTGGAACACCTGAGTCTGCCTTGGAGTCAGGGAAGGTTTGTAGGAAAGGAGATGTTTCAGCTAATGCCAGATGGACTTCACTGGGCAGATGAGCTAAGGTAACTCAAGGCAAAGGAAATATCAGTTACAAACCACAGATGCACAGAAGTACAAAGTATGTTAAAGAACCTACCAGTAATTCAGTGTTTCTGGAATAAACAAGGAATAAGTAGTGAAAGCTGAAACCCAATAGAAGGGCCAGGCCAGCCAGATCAGGAAGGGCCTTGCAGGTCATGCTTAAGTGGCTAAGACTTTGGTCTGGAAATAAAAAAGAACCACGGGTGAATACTGAGCAGGATCAGATTTACTCATTACATTTACTTGCCAGACTGAGCAGCTGGTAATACTGAAGAGAGTTATAGGGCAAGAAACAGGACCAGCTGGAAGATTGCTGGAGCAAAATCCAAAGAGAAAAGATGACAACCTAAACTGAGGTTTCTCAAGTTGGGTCCTACTGACATTGTTACCAAATAACTGTTGTTGGGTGGTCCTGTGTAGTGCAGAATGTTTAGTAGCATCCCTAGCATCTACGTTCTAGATGTCAGTAGTACAGGGCAACCCAAAATGTCTGCAGATGTTATCAAATATCCCCTGGGGGGCAAAATCACTCCAAATCCACTAGACTAAACCAGGGAGTAATAGAGAGGAAGAAACAGAATTTTAGGATTTTTAGGAGTCTAAATCTGCAGTCTTGGTGATTGACAAAGGAAGATGGGTGAGAAAAAAGTGCCTAGAACAACTCTCGGGTATAGGACTTGAGCACAGGAGTGGAAGCTGAATACAGGTAGACTGTAGGACATTTAATCGAGGATGTTCACAAGGCAGCTGCATACAAGGGTCAGGCACTTGAGGAGAGGTATGAGTTCAAGATGGAGATCTGTGGTTAATAGCCATAGCTGAAGCTGAGAGTTCACAGCCAGAATAAAGAGAGACTAGGGCTGTGGATGGACTCCAGGAGAAGAGCAGTGTTCAAGAGGAGGCAGAAGAAGAGAAACCTGCAAAGGAGACGAAGAAGTAAGTGAGAGAAGTAGAGAATTAAGAATTGGGTCACAGCAAACGGAGAATGTTCCAACAAAGAAGATTCAGCAAAGACATTCAAATGCCAAGAAGTTATATGAAACAAGATCATAAAAGCATTCACTCCGACTCAGTGTTGTAAATGTACTGAAACCTGTAAAGCTACTGGGGAGTGCTCGGAAGGAAGCCAGTTTGTAAGGGGAAAGAGTAAGACGGAAGCAAACAAGAAACACCAAGTAGACACCATGCTTTTCAGACGTGTGGCACAAAGAGAAAGAGGATGGAGTTGGACAGGAGTTTTTTCTTAATAATAAACATCAATGGGCTTAATGAGGAAAAAAGCTAATTTAAGTTGGGGATACAAGACAGAGAAGGTAGAAGTGGGGAAAATTAGGAGAAAAAAGAAAGAGAAATGGATATCCTATCACAGAAGAAAACAAGTAAGGGTATCAAGAAAGTCAAAGAGAATAGTATGGGCTATACACAGGATGGGTTAGCCTTAGAAAGAACAGAGAGCTCCTTCTGTGAGGCAAGAGAGATGGAGGTAAGTATGGATGAAGGAAAGACACAGTGGAGAAGGCCATACAGAAATGAAAGGCTAATAAGTAGGAAATCAAAAGGAAAGTCTGCCAACTTGAGTACAAATTGAAAAAAGCTGGAAAAGCCTTCATGGGGAGTTCCTGGCATTGTCAGATTGCAGGACTAACAAGAACCGACAGCAGTGATGAGGCTGAACCAAGACAGATCTCCTGACTGTGGGGCAGCGCCTAACCACTGTGCTGTGGCTTTCCTTGGTGGTACTCAGCAGCAGGTGCAAAAGTAGAGAAAGCTTGGTGTACGGATCCAAAATTGGAAGTGTGCAAGGTGGTAGCTGCAGGTGGTCCAATTCAAATGTAAGTGCCATACATTGGCATAGAAAATGTGTTAAATAGGAAAGAAGCACTTGAATGTGTTTAAGAGATAAATGGATCTTTTGGTCCAACCTAACAGATTGTAACACTGCCAACACTACTGAAAATTTCAAAAGTGTACACAATAAAATGGTTTCCAACTGATAGTCAACTATGAAATTAAATAAAATAAAGCTGGGTTGTAGTGGTGTATACTGGTAGTCCCAGCTATTTGGGAGGCTGAGGTGGGAGAATCACTTAAGTCCTGGAGTTCCAGTCCAGCCTGGGCAACATGGTGGGATCTGGTCTCTATTAAAAAAAAAGAAAAGAAAAGAAGTTAAATAAAATGATAAATAGCTTGTGTAGTTTTCCTGCAAAAGTGTACATTAAATTTTAAAACAGTATGTTAATTGCCAAACAACTTAAAAGGTATAATGTTGCCTATACATTTTCTATATACAGATTCCTGGGGACCTTACCTACCTTCAGTGAGTGATCTAGTTATGCCCACACATACAAAATACCTTTCAATACACTACATTAAAGCAAAGTCCTCAGCAATGTGCATGACTTCTTACTTTTTTGGGGAGATGTTTTCTAGATGACTTAAAAGTAGCTAGTATAAACCTAGATATATATATATATATAGTGTGTGTGTGTGTGTGTGTGTTTCAAAATACAAAATATTTAAAAACTAAACATTTAGAGGACTATATTTTAAAAGAAAGCATCTAAATGAAACAGATAAAGGAAGACAGAATTGCACATCAGTTTCAATAAAAGAATTTCCTTAATAGACTGAAACATATATCACAAACAGATTTTTTAATATTATATAAGACAAATAGTATGGATCAGACAAGCACAGGACTAAAAATGCAATAGAAAAACTATTCATCCAATAAATCAACATGGCCCAATATCAGCAAATACCTCACTGGTAATAAGAGCTAGCACTTACTGAGCATTCACTTAGTGCCAAGCACTATTCTAAGCACTTTTTTGTAAGTTATTTAATCCTCATAAGAACTTCAGTATATAGCTGGGCATGGTGGCGCATGCCTGTAATCCCAGCTACTCGGGAGGCTGAGGCAGGAGAACTGCCTGAACCCAGGAGGTGGAGGTTGCGGTGAGCCGAGATCACGCCATTGCCCTCCAGCCTGGGTAACAAGAGTGAAACTCCGTCTCAAAAAAAAAAAAAAAGAACTTCAGGATATAGGTACTATTATTATTTTACCAAGGAAAAAAATTAAACACAGAGAGAGGTGAATTAACTGGCCAACGGCCACATAGCTAGTAAGTAGCAGAGCCAGAATTCAAACCCAATGGTCAGTCTCTTGAATTTGTGTTTTTAACCGCTCTGGTATACTATTAACATGAAATATTTTGGGTGGATCCAAGATGGCCAAATAGGAACAGCTCTGGAGTGCAGTTCCCAGTGAGAACAAAACAGAGGGTGAGTGATCACCACATTTCCAAAAGAGTTTTTACTGCCCACATACCAGGAGATTCCCAGGCTGAAAAGTGTCACAACTTTCCAGCACAGATGTATCAGCTGGCACTGTGTGTTTCCACACAAAAACTCACATAAATATGGGTGGCTGTTTCAACTGGCACCTGGAATGCCTGGAATGCCTGGAATACAGAGCCGCCCATTCAACTGAAAAAAAGGGGGCTGAAACAGGAAGCCAGGTGATCTGGCTAAGCAGGTCCCACCCCCAAAAGACCAGCAATCTGAAACATTCTGGATTGAGAGTTTTGCAGCAAGCTCAGCTGGACCCAGGATGGTCTAGCTTGGTGGGGGAAAGGGCGTCAGCACTTACCAAGGCAGACCACCATTACTGAGGCAGTCCACCATTACTAAGGCAGTCCACCATTACCGAGGCAGTTCTAACTGTACCTCTGTAAACAAAACCGCAAGGAAGTTCACAAAGAAGCTGGGCAGAGCCCACGGCAGCTCAGCAATGCCGCTACTGGCAGACTGTGACTTGACTACCTCCTTGCTGGGCAGGGCATCTCTCAAAAAAGGGAGCAGCATGTCAGGAACTTATAAATAAAGCCCCACTTTCCCAGGAAAGAGCACCTGAGAAAAAAAAAGGCGGTTATGAGTTCCACTGCAGCAGACATAAATGTACCTGCCTAGCAGCTCTGAATGAAACAATGGAGCTCCCAGCTCAGCACCTGAGCTCCTATAAGGGACAGGCTGTCTCAAGCAGCTCCCTGACACCCGTATAAGCAAAGAGATATATCCTTTATAACCTCCTCATAAAGGAGAGCTTAAGCTGACATCTGGCAGGTACCATTCTGGGACGAAGATAACAGAAGAAGAAATCAGTAGCAACTCATACTGTTCTGCAGCTGCTGCAGG